TGCCAGTGGTATAGTAATGACGACAGCAATGCCAGTAGTGTAGTAATGATAAAAGCTATGCTAGTAGTGTAGTAATGATAAAAGCTATGCTAGTAGTGTAGTAATGACAAAAGCTATGCTAGTAGTGTAGTAATGACAACAGCTATTTCAGTAGTGTAGTAATGACAACAGCTATGCGAGTAGTGTAGTAATGACGACAGTTATGTCAGTAGTGTAGTGATGACGATAGCTATGTCAGTGGTGTAGTAATGACGACAGCTATGTCACTAGTGTAGTAATGACGACAGCTATGTCAGTAGTGTAGTAATGACGACAGCTATGTCAGTAGTGTAGTGATGACGACAGCTATGTCAGTGGTGTAGTAATGACGACAGCTAAGTCAGTAGTGTAGTAATGACGACAGCTATGTCAGTAGTGTAGTAATGACGACAGCTATGTCAGTAGTGTAGTAATGACGACAGCTATGTCAGTAGTGTAGTGATGACGACAGCTATGTCAGTGGTGTAGTAATGACGACAGCTATGTCAGTGGTGTAGTAATGACGACAGCTATGTCAGTAGTGTAGTAATGACGACAGCTATGCCAGTAGTGTAGTAATGACGACAGCTATGTCAGTAGTGTAGTAATGACGACATCTATGTCAGTAGTGTAGTGATGACGACAGCTATGTCAGTGGTATAGTAATGACGACAGCTATGTCAGTAGTGTAGTGATGACGACAGCTATGTCAGTAGTGTAGTAATGACGACAGCTATGTCAGTGGTGTAGTAATGACGACAGCTATGTCAGTAGTGTAGTGATGACGACAGCTATGTCAGTAGTGTAGTAATGACGACATCTATGTCAGTAGTGTAGTAATGACGACAGCTATGTCAGTAGTGTAGTAATGACGACAGCTATGTCAGTAGTGTAGTAATGACGACAGCTATGTCAGTAGTGTAGTAGTGAGACAGCTATGTCAGTACTGTAGTAATGACGACAGCTATGTCAGTAGTCAGTAGTGTAGTAATGACGACAACTATGTCAGTAGTGTAGTAGTGAGACAGCTATGTCAGTACTGTAGTAATGACGACTGCTATTTCAGTAGTGTAGTAATGACGACAGCTATGTCAGTAGTGTAGTAGTGACGACTGCTATGCCAGTAGTGTAGTAATGACGACAGCTATTTCAGTAGTGTTCTCTAAGATGTTAAGTATTGTGCTTCTATGTGATATTATCCATGTAATTGTAAATTCACTTTGAATCGAGCATAATCACAAACACACTGCGAAACAATTTATTGAATGGACGAACACATTTTCTTTATTGAACCGACATGCCTGTGTTGATATGTAGTTGGTATTAGACAATCGATATCGTCCCTGACGCATGACAACACATAACGTTGATGTGATGCATGTGTTTTAAAGGATAAATGCAATAAAATACGTATTAATATGTGAACATTCTTGTTATTTATAGTGTGGTATTCATTTGACCGGAGGCATCATTCACAATTCACTGCCAGTCATATTGCAATGATGGTAATGTAATTATACGAACGTTTCCATAGAAACTGTTCTAATTGACTATATCGTGCCTTTCTTAATCGTAAAATACCCTTGTCAAGCAGAATAAGCCACCTACAAGTTAATGCTAGATTCTTGTTGCTGGTTACGTTATTAATTCGTTGCTGTCATCATAGTATATTATTATGTTTTTGAGAGAAAAAACATATTTCACAAAATTAACAACGTAAGAATTGACAGGAAATGGTAACAGATAACAATTTTATAGAGAGTCATTAGTAAGACTATATTGCCGGAAAATGGTGATACCCAGAGACCACGACATGAATGTTGATCACAAGGCTCAACACGGTAATATATACGATAAAACGCTAAATATGTTGCACACAGGAACGAGAAGCATGTGAGATAAAGTTAAAATTTACAAGAAAACAAAAACTCTGTGACACGACAACTTTTGCCATTAGCGTTATTATTTGATTACAGCAGGGTAGGTAATAGAGGGTATCAGAAGGAGGAGGGCGGTGCTTTGAAGTATATATTCTCTAACTGGTTGCAGTATTGTGAACTCAATAGTTCTACTTTTGACACTAAATCTAGAGACATGCACTCTAATGCGTGGAAAGAATCAATGTGCACAGTATCCCATAATGCACCTCGACATCCCACAGCGCACCCCGTTACCCGCAGTTCACTCACATTGTATATCACATCATTACTTATCATCCACGCAGTTCATGTTATAATCCGACTTTGGCGCATCTAGTAGCCATCGTAAGTGCACTACTTATTTCCAATGATTCCTGTAGCTTATGTGGGCTCTCACTCCCACCCGATGTATCCGCGATTACAGTTATTGTATTTCATCAACCCGTGCTTCCAGTTACAACTTAGTACGCCCCGTAATCAGTCGAAGTGATCTGCCATCCCAGTGTTTCTCAATGTATGCGTCACTCCAGCCATTATCAACCAAGTACATCATTTCATACCCAATAATGCGTGTGAACCAGGGCATCTCGTCATGCCCCAGTGTGTCCCGTCATTCCCAGCACTGTACCCCGTCATTCATAGTGTACCCCGTCATTCCGTCATTTTATCCCATCATTCTGAGTGTATCCCATCATTTCTTATGTATCCTTTCATTCCAAGTGTATTTTATTATCCCCATTCTGCACCGTCATCCCAAATGTTTCTGTCTTCTCCAGTGTATTCATCGTTCCCAGTTGATGCTGTCGTCCCACTGTACCCAGTCGTTCCTAGTGTATCTCGTCGCCCCAGACGGTGTATCTCGTATTCCCAACGTATCCCTTCGCCCCCATTGGACCCCATCCCGGCACACCAAAGAACACATACCTGCAATCTGATCTATTTGTCGGTAATCTCGTTATTATGGGGGAGCATTCACGCCTTAATGGATATAAGAACAAAAGCATATATTTTCTAAGTCGTAGATGACGTATAATAAGCTTTATTGTTCTGCCTAACACTTTGAAGTAATTGAAAATCCGTATTGATCACTTTGAAGTAATTGAAAATCCGTATTGATCATGGCACTTGCATCAGATTGTGGCTACAGAAATTATGTCACAGTCTGGTCACGTGATATAAACAGTATATCGGATTATTGATAATGTAAAACCGACATTCAAACTCGACATGGATAATACGAATATATCATCGCGACGGCATACATATGAGTTAGAAAGCCGTGTCAATAAAACCTCGTTGATACGCCTGAATATTGTCTTGGGATACCACGGATAGTGCTCGTCCCCTAATATTCATTGTTGTACTGAAATTAGGATTCCATTTAGCAACGTATCTACGACAAGTTAGTATTCTTTTGAAAGCTACGCGGAATTGTTTGTTTGAAAATGCGTAACAGAACGGGTTACATGCACTATTTATATAACAGAGCCAGTAACTGAATGCATACAATTTACCGTCAATACAGGTTGGACAGAAACCAATGACAATCACAAATATGCTATAGGGTACCCAACAAACTATAAAACTACCAAGAATGAGACTCAAAGTTCTCAATGCTTTTCTGTCTCGAGCGCCGTTATTCTGCCTCCTGTCGGCGTCGTCCACATTGTATAAATGACTTTTACGTCTGTAGTGCGTATCAGCCATGTCATCTCGGAAAGTAACAGAAATCTTTCTCCGTTTTGGGGACGCTGCAGTAGATAGCTTATTTTCCAATTCATTGCGTTCACATTCTTTCGGTGGCGGTAAATACTCTAGTTCATCAATACGGTTCGAAAGAGGCACAAGACATGGGTGAAATTCGTCAGCTTCGATATCTTCCTCGGGAATTTTATCCGTTCTTTCCATCATATTGGATGAGTTTTCCGAAACCTCTCTTATCTCATTTAAACTAATCTTTCGCAGGTGGCCACATCGCAAAATGCCACCGTTAGAGGATTGGTGAGAGTGCAAGAAGTCGTTCCCACTGGGACTCGAGGTCGGACTGTTGGAAACAGTTGAAAACCTCCTCGATGTATATTGTTTACTATAGTGACGTCTTATCTCAATTTTACCTTCCTTTGCGGCATGTAGCTGCACAATCCTTCGAGTCATTATGTAGATTTTACAGTATATAAACAGTGTGACAAATAGAGGCAGCCAAAACGCCGCGACTATGGATCCAGTGGTGAAATATGGATCATTCAGAAACTGCACTTCGCATGCACCATCGGGGACAGTCCGTTCCCCTTCAAAATACTGCCATCCCATAATAGGTAGGAAGAACAAGCAAATAGAAAATGTCCAAGTTACAAGAATAATAATTATAGCATGACGTTTTGTCATCTTGTTTCGGTATAGCATAGGCTCGGTAAGTGATCGATATCGATCAATACTGATGGTCAATATCCCAAATATGGAAGCGGCACAACATACGTAATCAATTGACAGCCACACGTCGCATATGTCGGAGCTTAGTGGCCAATACCCAAGAATCAAATACATCGTGTACAGTGGCATGGAAAACAGACCTACAATCAAATCCGCCGTGGACATGCTTAGAAGAAAATAGTGGCTGACCGTCCTCACACGCTTATCGATGATAAAAGCAAGTATAACCATAGAATTTACAGCGATCGTAATAAGACTTCCTATTCCTGCTGCAATCGACGCCAACATCACTTCTGTCAGCGTCCATTCCAAAATAATCGTCATATTGTTCATATCGGTAACTTCTATCGTACTGTTGTACATGATGTAACCTTGGTAACGTACTTAATAGCAACGTAAAATGTAACATTCTCACATTGTAGACGTCTGCATATGTTCCACGCTGTTGAAGTCGATGCCAAAAATGTCTGGTATCTTGATTGATGGTGAACTGCACGGATTGTTTCTACATACAGCACATTATAAATCCCAGTTTTCTATTTTCCTCCGTCTCATTGCAAAACTCTTTTCCACATCACGTAGCCCGATGATTATCGAAGACAAGTTCTGTCAAAAATAAGAAGAAGAAGGCGTCAGTTCGTTAGAATACATCCAAGCAATTACTGACAAATCAGTGTGCCACATTGAGGAAATGAAGAGATCTCACGCTGACATAATTCGTTAAAACAATTTGCACGACATTCCATTTACAAGTATTAAATGGAAAAGAGGAAATTGAAGTAGTATGAAATCAACATAGAAGGAATCGCTGCACAACGTAGCTTTAACACAGGTGGGATCACCTCTTGACACGTGATCTGTGACGTCATTAAAATCTACTTGTTGTGACAACAGCTGCCAAGAGATTAAATCTTTATGTGTTTTACTCTGTACGATTAGAGAAGGTCACGAATTAGTGCAAAAACCGTCTGTAACCAGATAGTCGGTTAACGGCGGTCCATCCATGCTAAACACTTTATACAGTGGTGTGTGTGGTGCGGTGTCGTCTAACGTTCTTTTAACGACGGATTTTGTCAATAGGCTATACTTCTGGATGATTCGGGTGGTACTTTACCATCCTTTTCTGGGAATACACTAGTACATTGTGTGCGGAAATATCTAAAATATTGTAACCAATGTCATGGACGAGATTTGGACAAGGTACAATGTTTTTCTCATTGTGGACGAATTGTATTTTTGTTTGACTGCAAAGATGTCAATCAGACTGGCCCCAGTCGGGTATTTAGTGTTTTTATTTTATAAATAAAAGAAATATGTGTGTTTTTTAAATGGTTGTGTGTCTGCGAAATGTGACAATTTACAACAGCTAATTTAAAAGGCTCTGTTTTCACTTATTTATAGTATACAAACTAATATCCCGCCTGCGTACAGTCTAATTGTGAGTTAATGAATTCAGCGTTGTGTGCGTGCGTTGTATCACACACATAGACAAATATACCAATGTTAAAACAGTCTGTTACTGTCATTAAAATATTATACAAACACTCAAGTAATCAAAAGAGGTCGGTAAATGTACTCAATGACAGTCGGGTATCCAATTATGCGGAGTTGTTGACCGCGTGATGACTGTTGGTCTTGTAGGACATCACAATTGCTGTAACAAACGGTTTGCTCAATAATTCGTATTAGTGTTGTGAAGTCAATAATTATAATTTGCATACATGCACGTGACCATAAATAAACATACTGTAAATACGTTAGATATCAAACTTGACGCGTAATCTGCGAGGACCTACACGAAATTTAAAATTAAATTTAAAGCGAAAATCTTAGTTACAATTAAAATAGGTTTGAACAAACAACCATGATATTGAATAAGAGTCTGCTCTGGCTTCTCTGACTTGTAAACTAACTATTTGCTGAAGCAGTAAAGCCGTCTTAGGATTTGGGTACTACACATCAAGTCACGTTCAATTGTTATTCTTCCATGACTGATTTTGTGAATATATGAATCGATACAAATTAGTCATATGGTGTGAATATATAGAGACCTCAATTTCACGGCTATACATAAAACGCTCACACCGCTCACATATCAAAGCTGCGTTCAAGTTTGTTTTATTGTAATGTGAACTGTAAACTCAAACGGCGGTGGTCGCCACGCAGCGCGTGTTCGAATTCCATGTAAACAAACAATGTATTTTACATGCGTTGTGTACGTCGCTATGAGTCCCATGTCAAACAGGGCGCGGCGCGATGACTACCATCCTTCAATGATGCGTCAAACTTAACGTATTATTGACAGTCCTTCCCCAACCCTTACTTCCTTTGCGTCTGATCTCACTCACAAAACGACACGGAGCAGAATTTTGAAGGCTATTGTGGCATTAGAATCTCATCAGAACGATGCGATCTTTGGAGATGCCGATAATGAACAACGATCCCTTTGCCTAGACAGCTGAGCCGTGATACACTAGATATGCCAATAATACAGATATGTGTCACATATGTTTGGTACATTCATTCAATTATTTAGAAGGAAATTAATACTATTACATTGTAATAGTAACGGTAATTTGATAGTGTCAAAAGGTCATTTAAGTTGATGACTTTGTTAAAGAGGAAACGATGTCTGAACAAATCATTTTCTGTGTGCAAAAACATCGAAGTGAACACATACAAAACGTTAAATATAATTAATTCATAATGCATTCAATCTTTTTTCTTCTATTTCCGTAGATAACTGAGAAATACTATTCGACGTATTATCTCACAGTCTATCATCAATGATCCACAACACTTTACCGAACCCATAATTAAATTTAATAACATCCCCGATAAAAGGTCATTTACGCCAGCACTTTTCACTATCGTAAAGTAGAATTTACTTCTTAAATGATTAGTTGGGTTTTCCCATCCTGTTTCATTTCCTTCTAAATCTGACCCGTTTGGCAATAATGATCCGTATTTATAATTGCCCTTGCCATTGCTGTGCTCCATTGAATATCGAGATCGTAAAATACGAATTTCACCCCAGGTCTAAATTATTGGCATTGTGCTTAACACGCTTACCTGACATTTTCGGTTCGCATACTGTTAGCATGGACTGCAGCATGTCACTTAAGATATGAGCACGGGATTTGAAAACAAACGTGATATTCACCAAACGTGATATTTGTACTGTTTCGGTTCTTGTAAACACATATCACGTGATACTTGGAATTTACATATCATTGTGAACACAGAAAAATATGTATATAAAATAATAGTTTGTTTTACCCAGACTTAGCATCGATGTGACAGTCAACACTCTCCATTTAGCATTCAACCACCAAAGGAAGCCGCAGGTGGGGCTACTAAATGTCAAGCCTTCTTTTCATCCAATCATAGAACATCAATTCCAAGACACGAAACAATTAATTACCAGATTGTGACCATGGGCAGCTCCGCATTTATCAATTTAAGGTTATTTTACACTATACTGTGATACCTATGGCAATCCTACTTTCCATACCTAACGCGTGGCGTTATCGTAGCTCGTTAGTCTAACAAGACTATGATAATCGGTAAACATTTAATCCATCAGCAATGGGTAGTGCTGCCCTGTATCTTCCGTTACGCATGCGTCACTGTTGAATATTTGATTCACAGTACAAATGATCATTGTCTCGCTACGAACTGCAACAACGAATCGAACAATATGCAAAGAAACATGGGTGTTTCCGGGATTTCAGTGAATTTGGTTTTCAAATATATAAGTGTACACTACGTATGTATCTCAGAGCTTATGTGGTACACAATTGTCAAGCTTCTATTTACTGTTGAGACGCAATCTAAACCCACCGTGAAAATACCACTCGGCGTACTAGTGTGGCCTTGAAAGAAAAAGATGGTGTCAGTCACGTTTAGAAGCTTTGATCAGAACAAATACGAGTAGTAATCAAATGCTACGATATCTTTTCACAGTTAGGATCAGGTTAGGATGGTAACATTTATTTGCATTTGACATTAACATGCGGTGATAGACGCGCTGCGTCCTGTTCGATATGGGACTCATAGTGACGTACACAACGCGTGTAAAATACATTATTTATTTACATGGAATTCAAACACGCGCTGCGTGGCGACCACCGCCCTTTAATAATAGTCAACTACTTCTTTAGAAAGGTTTTATTTTCGCTATACTTATGGATTGGAACAAAAATATCCCCCAGCGTGTGTTCGATCGGAAATTCCGACTAGTATATTCAAACCTTGTCTCGCAGAAAAACAAAACTCAGTGGCAATATTATTGATAATTTTAATATGTCAACAACCCGAATGGTTTACAGCGACCTGGTATAAACTGAGTGAGACTTTTACTGTTTCAAAGCTTTATCAAATTGCATTACTTACCTCCGTTTTATGTATATTTTGTAACCTTGTTATATAGTTGCCGCGTTTGTTATGATTGGGCCGCATTGTGGTTCTAGACAATTTTCCGTAAACATGTTGTTTTACTAGTAGATGACCACAGCTTAGCCGATTTCTTGATTATTATTATATTTAAAAAATAGCCAAACAAAATTAGTAAGATATTACGTAAAAACTATGATAGAAAAAAGATATATCAAGATTGTGGATTATTTGAATGTAAAAACCTCCTACGAAAAAAGTTGATACAGACAGATGAACGTTTTATATCTATACAATGTATTAGTGATTTTCCAGTTCAGTAAATATCAATAATATTTTGTGAACGCATGTCTGTGTACATTTGTCATGGTAGGGTCATGATTCCGAAATGCCTCAGCGCATATGTTTGACATCACCTATTCTGTGTCAGATTACTAATTGCATCCAGCCGTTTCAGGGGAAGTAATTTACATTAAGAGGATTCAATAAATATTTCGTATCAAGTATTGCTAAGAAAATATATACATATGTACCACTATGTCTCCCTGATTATACACACGTATTTGGTAAGGTCGATGAACTGTCCTCCGACGGGCACAATATTTATATCCAGTCAATCGTTAGAAAGCGGGTTTTAAACAATACTGCCACTAGCAGGGATAAATTGTTATCCACCGACGATACAATGTGGTACATAGTCTATCTAAACCTTTATAAAACATATTGTATTCAAGTTGGAATGATATCTTTCCGTGAGCAAAATCTCCTAACTTGACGGAGATCGACTGATGTAGAATTTTAGAATTGTACTTTGGTGTGTGCTCAATTGCTCTTTGTGTACATCTCCAAGACGTAAATGCAGCATTCCTGAAAATCGCGCCCTCTAGAGACAACGCGGGTATGTGGCGTCGAAATTACCACATGTCACA